CAAGTGTTTTGCATGCGAATCATTTGATAAGGCTGTTCTCATCCCCTCTCATCTTTTCAAACACTTTGCTGATCTCAGGTCGAGAAGTAACTGATGACAGGAAGTCGCTATGTTCTATTGTTGTTCTTAAAATTCTTCTATTCCTGAAACTTGATCGAACCGCTGATTCGATTAAATCCGAATAAATCCAAGTGACCACTCACCTGCGTCTGTATTCCGATAGATCGTCCAAAAGTTTTCTAATTTCCTTTTCCAGATCTTCGCGTTGTTTATTCGTATCGTTTACGAGTTTGCGTGCCTCCTGAATGCATTCGATTCTGTTCTAATGGTTTGCGATGCAAAATTTCAATATTTTCAGTACTGATGAGTGATACGAATGAATCATTTGCTAATAATTACAGAATGGAGATATCATATTCCAAGGCGTTATTGATTCTAAGCAAGTATGATTCACTGAATGTCGAAGTGATGAAAATGGTATAGAATGAAATGTGTTAGTTGAAGCACACACCAAAAATAAAGAATTTATTTGAGTTAGATCGACGGGCAGACCAAAGAAAAAGAACAATTATTTATCGACTGAATCAGCTCTTCTCAATTAATTTCTAACGGAATCTTAGAATTTCTTGAAAGATGCCTGCTGAATGTTTGAAAAGTGTTAATTGGGATTGTTCGAATGAACACTATCAATGATGATAAATAAATTCTCAGATAAATAAATTGTCGGTAAATTCTCCTCAAATGTGAATCGTTTCAAATAGATTAATTAAAGGGTGAAGTGTGTTGAGAAAGACTGATGATTCACGACTTAAATGTTGATATTACGATATGCATCATACTCGGACGCTTTATTGCGACACACCTGTAATTCTCCTTCGTACATCGTTCTGACGCTCATTGTGTCTTTGCCCCAACGTCCACGGAGTAAATCCAGGTCTGCGGCGAGCTTACGGTTTTGAGCTTCCAAGAAGCGCACCTAAAATTTCATTGTGGGACTAAACAATTGATCATAAGCTCTTCTTCAGACTGAAGCAACGAATGCATTCGACTTATCAGAAGCAATTTCTGCAGAAGTTAGTCCTCAATATAAATTCATGTCACATGAGTTGATTCCATCAGTCATTTTACCCTAATCATAAGTACTTGCAACTTTCTTGTCTTTATCGCATTCATCATGATTCTTCCAATTCTATATTCCCAAATAATAGCTCAAAACATCGGACAGTTTGAAAATCCATCAAAATCTCCGAGAACTCTTGACCACATCATTTGTTCAAAGAGCTGAGGGGTGAAGAATGGTAGGAGGTGATATTCGTTGATCATGACGAGGTGTGTGCATGATTCTGATCACATAGTGACCGGTAATTCGTGACTGAATGAGATGAAGATAAAGCACGACGAAACCTTTTCGATGTATGAAGCAAGTCTGTCATTCAAATCGCTCATTTCCTTCTTTTCGCGTTCACGCGTGTCGCGAATCGTAGAAGCGGCATTCTGACCGAACGGTGAAAGACCGCTGCTATGAATCGACGATGAACCGATCTCTGTTACCGTCTTCAGAATTCGTCCACCTCCAGACGCTAAAATCGTTGCATGAGGATCTAGAATTTCAGTTTACTGCCTTTATATGTGTCACTTTCGGTTTTCACCAACTTCAATCCTATTCCCGAATTAGGAACAAACAATTATTCACGGAACTATGTAACAACTGCAGAGAGTCTAGGATTTCTTTCAAATGGTTTGCATAAAAGTCTATTTCGAGATGTCAGACTGAACGATGTCTGACTATAAGACTGTCGAGAGAAAAATATTTCTTCTATCAACGATAAAATATTGCACAATCTCTTTTCATGATTACAGAAGCATAAATTACAGAAGTACGAATAAATATTTTCAAGACTATAAATCACAAATGATTTGTGATTCTTTCATAATACTTCTTCGAGAACATCGTTGAAAAACTTCAGAATTTATGTTTCGAATGTGCGAAATAAGTCAAAATATTCATGTAATGTTATTATTTATTGTTCAGCAAAAGTTTTCTTTCTTTTGGCTCGATGAAAAATTCTTTTCGGTAACTCGTCTCCAAACATGTAAACTGTACGCGTTACTGGAACGAATGACTCATTGAACAGTGCATTTTAGCAATAAAACGAATCTGCTTCTGTATCGTATGCTCATAAGTAAACGTCAAGAGAATATTTATAGTGGATTTGTTTAAATCGTTATCTGAATTTTTGAGCTTTTATGATTCTTAATAGATACTGTTGATATCAAAAATGATATTGATTGCAATGCAAATGATATTGATTGCGATTGAAACAGCTACTGAATGCGCGGTAAATTAAGTTAACAAGAGGCCAGTGTAAGGCTGCTCGAAATCTACCCATTTCCATTTCACAACTAAATATCACTTCAAGATTGGAATCTCTAGAAGTCAGATTAGTGAGGTGGCTGAAAAGCATCAAGAAGTTAAAACAACGAACACATTGATCCGAATGGAGTGAAGGAGACGTTTGAACCGATTGCGCGGTTGTATCCTGGACGAGCCGATATTGTGCTGTGGTATTCCGGGAGGGATACATGTTCCATATCGCTGAAAATACAATCAATCAATTCGTCTCTCGAGACGACTGCCTTCTGAAAGCATCGCACTGATACTCATGATAAGATCCACATGTTCTATCGACCAATTACAGCGGAATCGCTTCTCAAAAGCTTATGTCCTCGAACAGGTAAAGCTGGGTGTTTCAGGCCACCTCAGGTTACTGCTAGTAACCAAACAATGATCCAGAGAATTCAAAAATCTGCCACGTTTCGTGTGAGCTGAAATTCAGTGTGTCTCATCTGCTCAGAAAATGAGACTGAAATCAAGTGTTCTGAGTGTTGTGGGTTCGTACAAGATGTGCGGGCTTATATATGAGGAATACTGGATCGGAATGGTTGTGGATCACAATTGAATCGACTGCAATAAAACTGCAGAATAAACGCTATTATATATGCGACAGAGTTGAAAGAGCCCCAAAAAATGCTAGTTTTGAATGAGCGGCATTGAGACTGATGGAAAATGGAACAGGAAATTTTTCATGAAAACAACAACAATAACAACAACAAGCCATAACTGGAAAACACAAATGTTCAACCATAAATTTTCATTAATTTTTCCCATTAATGTATTTGATGTTCTTTACTGGCCCATGAACGTTGAAAAAATTAAACTTGTTTGATGAGTCGTGTCGATTAGTCATTAGAGGAAAGAAACCTCTATTCGGAGGAGCGTTTTAATTGGAAACGTGTTGAATGTGCCAAAAACACCCCGAAAAGAAAACATGAAATTTGAGGTGCATTATCGATATGGATGCCG